CTACAGGTATAGTGTCCTTCTAAACGATGCTTGATAAGCATGTATTTCAAAAATTGTGACACAAATAAGAATTGACACAATGTTGATGAGACAATCTTTCGCAAGAAAGGTCCTGCACAGACAATATCTTCCATCTTTTTAAAAATATTTAGAGAAACACAGAGAATATAACAAGGGAAACCTACATCTTGTTTGTAGATTACAAGAAAGCTTGTGACATCTGTAGCCAGCATACGCCTCTTGGAAATATTAAGAAAGAGAGGAATGCCCCGAACATTTATCCTTGAAATTGAAAATATGGTAATAAATCTGAAATATGTAGGTTACTTGGAAACTAGGAGTCGAAAAGGGCGGAATGGACCAAGCCTACGGCAAGTAAAATGGTAGTCCGTTTCACCCGCTAATGTTTTGATTCTACATAGACGAAGCTCTTGTAGTGAAGAGGCAGTTAAATTTTATAGCCTAGACCTAACTACACATGAAAATTATGACAATACTTATTTTGCAGATGCAAGCAATAAATGAGCAGAAGAGAAGAAGATATATTACAAAAAACAACGTATTTGCGTTGTTAACTACAGCGGATGAATAGCAGAATATAATTTTGAAATAGTCAGACCCACCAAACGAAAGTAATGCATTAGTGCAGATGACCCGATACGCTCAAAATTGTAGTAAAATAATAAAACCTGTAGAGGGCAGATACAAACACTTTCACCATTCTTGGGAGCAGACATATCATTCTATGGCGAAATCGACATAAATAAGAAAATAGAACGATTCAATGAAATGAATTGAGCTATAAGAAGAACACTCAGTTCAAAAGTGAGAAGAGACACTCTCATTAAATTTTACAAAGTGATGTCAATACCAACTTGCTTATACGGGAGTGAAGTGTGGACAATAACAAAAAAAGATATATCGAGACTGCAGGCAGCGGAAATGAGATTCCTTAGAGCGGTAGCGGGATATAGGCTTTTGGACAGACAAAGAAACACACACATCCGAAACGAGCTAAATGCAGAAAGTCTTATAGAGAACGTCACCAACTACAGACTCTCATGGCGAGATCAGATGTTGCGAATGAACGACAGAATTCCTAAACAAGTGGCATATTAAATACTTGGAGATAAGAAGAAGAAGAAGAAGAAGAAGAAGAAGAAGAAGAAGAAGAAGAAGAAGCAGCAGCTTAGCTTAGTGTCTTATAGACTGATCAAACAAACATTCACCCACAACGTAAATCTACTATGGCAAAATTAATATGTTACTACTTGGCTGCTTCCGTTAGAATGAGAATTGGTTTCTTTTTTCTTGAGCTACATTTTTAACGTCCTCCCTCAATTCCTCCGCCCAATTTCAACGCCCTCCCCAACGCCCTCAATTCCGTGGTATCACACCCAAGTGACATTCTGGTATGTCACAATACACAAATACACACAAAGACATACAAATCCTTCTCCCAAATCCATCTCTGGATCCGCCCCAAGCATTGTGTTGTATGATTAACAAAATATCCTCTAACTTTCCAGGCTTACCACGTGCCAATCATATGTATTTAATGTATCTGTAGTCAATGTACTTGAATTATGAAATATATAGTAGAAGTAGTAGTATAGTAGATAGTAGAAGACGATGAAGAAGCAAAAAATAAGAAATAGAAGGTGGAAGCGAAAAACAAGAAGGTGAAGGAAGATGAGAAGGCGAAAGAGGGGGAGAACGAAGAGGATAAGGAATATGAAGATGAATAGGAAAAGAGAATGAGAAAGATGAGGTTGAGAACGACGATGATGACAAAGAAGAGCAAGAAGATGAGTAAGAGAAGGAAATGGAAAACGAGGAATACAAAAGAGAGGACGCGAAGGAGAAATAAGCGGAGGAGGAGGAGGAAAGGAGAGGAGCAAAGGAGGTGGAAAGTTGGAGAAAGGCAATATGGTGGGAGATGGACTCTAGGGCGAAGGATGGGAGAGGGGGTGAGGGAGGAAGGGAGGAGGAGCAGAGTAAAAGAAAAAAAAAATTGTGAGCGAAAGGGGGAGGCATAGGAGAAGTTGGAAAGGGAGTTTATGGAAGAGGAAATAGAGGAGGAGACGGAGGGGAAGAATGACTTGAAGTGATCTTGGAAGAAGGGACGTTGGAAGAGGAGGAGGTGAGAAGGAAACGGAAGATCTCGAGTAAGGAATAGTTCACTGTTAGGACAGGGGCGTGCCGCTGGTCCGCTTGCTCCAGGCAGGCCAGAGAGCGCGGGTCCGGACGTGGTGCTGAGGCTCTCGGGGGGCGCTGTGGCCTGGCCAGGGAGCTCCCATTATAGAGCGATTTTTATAAGAAATGACCTTTGTAGACAGGTAGTGCTGGCAACATAACTGAAGATTCTGTGGTCATTGTGTCTTTCAGTCCATTTGACTCTCCTTCCTTCATTCGTTTGTTTACAGTTGGTTAACTTATAAATGGCTTTTGTGACGTCCTCATCCGACGAAAATATAATCCGCCACGCGAAATAATTGAAATTGTGTGCAGTGCTGCTGTGCTCTTATGTAAGTTTTTTTTGTAAACAATACATTGAATTTACTTTTTGTGTGGAGTTATGTTTTTTTTTAAAACCAAGTCTTGAGTGTTAGATTTCATTCTAGTGCAACTATTTCCTGCTAATGTGCTGTAAGATGGCAAGCTGTGATTTGGAACGTACCGTGGTTAGCGTTTTATCGCCATGATGCATTAAAGAGAGCCATGTTCAAATATAAACACTTTACGGAGAGGCGTGGCTGAACAGCGGTCTTGACGGAGGGCTACTTCGTTGAACTTCATGTGATGTTCACTTGTTTAGAGAACTGTCGTTTTGGATCATTATTAAGCGGATTCTTCTGTACCAGGGAATTGCGGACGCAGGCGACACATATGCCCCCCATTACTACGACCGTTCCACCCTTGAGAATTCAATCTCGTCACACCATTGTGTTTAGTGTGTACATGTGTATGATTCATAGAATAAAATTATTCCATGCTTCCCGGCACGTCGACTGCTTTGGCCATTACTCGCGTAAGTTTAGTGCATGTTTGTTTCGTCTGCGGGTGGTGGTGATAGTCCCCTTGCTTGATGTCGAGCTTCGGAGAGAACCTTCACGACAGCTTGCAGGGTTTATCCCACTTCCTCCTTCCCACATATTACTCGCGCAACTTTTCTTGAACGATGACCTTGCTCCCCCCTCTCTGGCACATTAAACGGATGAAGGCAAAAGCTCTCAGCGAGCACTGATGTCAACATTACAAACACATCTTCACTGGCGCGAAATAAAAACAATTTTGTTTTGAAGACGAGAACTTCTATCGGTTATTTTCTCCAAAAATCTAAAGAAATGACCGAAGAAGGTAAAGATCTATCACAGGAGATACCTGGAACTCCTGATGAAGTTAGAACGCAAATTGAGAACATTGAGAAGGCATGACTGATTCTCCAGAGATTGGCATTGCTTCATAAAATCTAGTGGCCGATTTCTTAACTAATACCCCCACTCTACTCGCATTTCTTCAATCTATCGTTCAAGAAAAGTTGCGCGAGTTATATCAAGTGCAATAAATTACGGCTTTGATAGAAAACATAATTAAGTTAATATTACATATTTGATGATAGAAATAAATGTTGTTAAAATAGTATATTTTTACATTAAACTGTGTGTTTATGCTAGGGAATCTCATTCTTTTCGTTACGATGGCTTTCTTCCGACTTTTCTGTTCTGCATGTATATCAGCTGCAAGGAAGTTTCCAAAACGTATTGTTAATTAGGTTTAGTTATATTCATTTTACAAAAGCACAAAAAAATTAAATCAGAAATTTTTCTCAAAACACTTGTCATTGTATTTTAATTTTAAAAAACTCAACTTTTTGTGTTTATAAACTTGAACAATGAATCCAAATTTGGGACGATGTACAACTCATTGAAATATTCATTATTTCAAACCAAAGAATTCTTTACATATTGGTTTCATGTATCATATTAAGTTGTTTCGTTTCCTGTCAACGTAGGATAAATATGGGTGAAAATGATTTGTTTAAAATAAAGTTTAAATAAGGTGATTCACGCATGCGCGCATGCAAACACACTTACGGGCACGCCCACAACACACAATCACTCACCAAATACAAACGAATTCAAAACGTAGCTAAATTTCATCATTGTGACTCTCTTAATGTTTTCAGAGCAAGCCTTCACGATAGTGGATATACATTTTTATTTCCATTAAATAAAAATGTATCTACCTGTGTGTCGAAAGCATTCATTTTCACACAATGGAACATTTACACATAATGGAACATTTTCTTTTTATTGCTTCTCACAATTCAAACTATCCATCTCTTTTGCTCTACGCTTCATACTAAATTAAGTGTCTTTTTAAAAATTGCATTTTTTCCCTAATTTCAGAATTTTCATATTCCGTCAATTTTTGGTAGAAAAAAGAATGGAATTGTGGCATGTTTAAAGAATTGGAAGAAGCGAACGAGCTCTCCTTCACCAGAATTTCGGATGCGTAAACGCAATGCGTACATTACTACGAGAGCGGGGGAGTCGGCTAGAGGGGAGGGGTTCCCAAGTGGTTGAGATGCGGCAGCGGATTCCAGCAACGGCAACAATAACAAGCGTTGGTAGCCTGCGAAGGCGGTGATGGCGGCGGCAGGCAGTAGCGGCTACCTCAGCGTTCCCAAGGAAGTCATATAGACAAGCGCAGCCATTTGTATTCGTCGCTTCTCGAACTTTAAATCCAATCCCGTCAACACAAACTTGGCTATTTGCAACTTCTTACAAAGCCGTAAAGAAAAGAAGAATGAGCGGGGAAGCTTGGAAAGGGAGAGGTGGGCCCCACCCTCTGAATAAGCACGCAAGCTACCACTGCAAAGTTCACGTGTCCGCAGCCAGATGGCCTCATATTCATTTGCATACCCCGGCATCTAGCGGCGGCTCGGAGCACCTCTTGCGACGCTCGGTCGATTCCTTCTTTTTTCGTTTTTGCAGGGACGCCGTCTTCCGTTTCCCCTCGGCGAAAGCCCGCGGCAAATTATGGCAGGAAGGATTTGTAAAGGAAAGGATGTTCCCATGGAAGCGGCGGGCGCTCGTGTGCACACACAAAAAGGAGGACTATTTCGCTGCGATATTTAAAGAAGGGGAATAAAAGAGGACGTCTTAGGAACCACGAAATTCATTCATGGGACAGGATGAAAAGGAGGGCACCCCCACCCGCGGAGCGAAAAGAGAGCAAAAAGAAAGAGAAGGCTTAGGAGGACGTAAAACGCGGAGAAGAAGAAGATATGAGTATTACGACCCAGGTTAGTCTGATAGCTTTTCGTGTGAAAGGGTGGAGGTGTGGGTTGGAGGATGGTGGGGCACTATTCACGTCCACGACATTTTACTTTAACCAATTCACAGCATCCGCGGATGGATACATTCTGCGAATGGAACTTTTCCTGGAGAAGATGGACCTAATCAGGCGTTTTATTCATTTGCATAGCTATTCAGGCCACTTGTGTGATCTGGTTACAGGCTTTGCCCGAGTCTGACGTGGCGCCATATGCCCTTCATCTTCATATCCTTCTAACGTGAAGTGCTCTCGGGTCTATTTCTTTTATGCATCAGAACTATTACGTGATTCCCCCTTCTTTACAAGTGATAAATCTTTTATATGTTCGCAAATATGTACATACTTCTATCATCGCTCTAGTAAAGTCGGGAGTTGCTAGATGGCTTGTGCAATGAAAGTTTTTGCATGCTTTTGAATGGGTTAAGGGTTGAAGATTACCAAGCTCGTGCTTGAAGCCTTATGGAATAAAAACATTATTACTGATTTACTAAGTTTACTTTTGTCTCTGTAGATTCGGTGAACATGTCTTTCCAATATAAGTCTACTATTAAGTTATATTCTTGTGAACATTTATTACTTTTAAAAATGAATGTATAATAATTATTTAAAAAAATGATTACCGCAAACACTACATAATGTGAAGCTTGTGTTACTAAAATTAAATTTACCTATATAATTTTATTATATTTGTTTATCACAGGCGTGCGCACATAGGGGGGGGGCAGGGTGCCGTGCATTCCTAAAAAGAAAAGGGTCATCGTTTAAGAGGAATAGCTGTATGTAATAAAACATTGTATTTCTTGAAATATGTTCATTTCCTGATATCACCATTTTGTAACTTGCACTACTTCAAATGATTCAACACAAAAACAATCGTATTTGTTAATTGTATCGTTAAAGGTATAATTTCTGTCTCCTCTTTGCATTTTGTTTATTTACTGGTAAAATATTATATATAAATAAAAGAATGTTGTAAAGGAAGGCCGAGTTGACTCTTCTTTTGTTTTAGATTTCGCACGCATATGTGAGAAATATATCGCCAATTTTTACCCAATTTCCGCCTTCGTAATCTTTATAGCAATGATTTTATTGTACACTATAAGATGACATCACTTCTTTGATCACATATGCTTAATGCATTTGCGATTGCCAAAATATATCGCTTTCTCGAAATTATCTTTAAGGCAATACAAGAATGTACGCTTAGTATTTTATCGTGTCGCAATATGTCATATTTTTACTTTCCCAAAAATGTAAATGAGACAATATTTAAAGCTGCATATATATTATTAATATAAATTGCTGCAAAAACCGATATTGAGATTTTGACGGAAATATACATTTTGGGAGACGTTATTACCGAATAAATTAAAAAACGTCCGTCAGTCCTTCCAATGAACTGTAAATAATCACTACGTAAACTCATTTTTGAAACATTTACCTCAATACACAGAATTATTTAACTATTTATTTATTTATAATCATACTATTCTCATTGAAAATTTTAGTTTAAAAAGATTGTTCTCCTTTGCTTTGTTTGCTGAAGAGAGTTTTCAAGAGATGTTAGTAAGAAACAATGTGCAATATTACAAGAGAACGTATCCATTAGATGTAATACGTGGAATATATTTTGAAGTTGCACCACTAGTTACATTATTAAGATAAATTCACGAGGTAATAATTTAGAGCGAAACTATTCTTAATATTTTGAAAACAAACTACATATCAAAACATCTTACAATTAATGACAATATGCTCACACAACGTCTGCGTAATATGAACTCACAATATATTAAGGTTTTTCAAATTCAGGACGTGTAAAATGCACAAGAGAAAACTTTTAAGAGCAAAGTGAGCTCTTTTATACAGGTGATTCAATCCTCGTTGCTAATACGCCGGGGCCCATATGTAATGTACAGACTAAATTTGCCGAAATGGGTTACTGTGTCGATTAGTTTTGTAAATAATTAACTTCAAACATTGGACTCGTGGAACCTGTGCTCGTGAAACATGGTCTACGGCAAGTGAATGGGCGGCTTCAGCTCATTCGTGTTAGAGCTCGCCACTTCTCAGGAAAACTCAGTTGCTAACACTATCCCAGAAGCCCTGGAAGCGATCACAAGGCAAATAGCGCGCGAGGTCAACGAATCACAGTCCCCCGTCTGGCGAACAATTCATGCGGAGATATTACGACTTTTCCATTTCCAGTGGGTGCAGCATTTGCGCAGTGGAGACTTATAACGTCATTTTCAATTCGCTACGCAATTACTGCGCAAATGCAAAGAAAACAATTTTTTTTCTTACGTCATGTGAAGCATATGTTATAAGAACTGACACAAATAATGCGCACAATTTGTATGTGGGGCCGAGGAAAATCCATATGTTGCACGTAGTGTAGTGCACCAAGAGCGATTCTCAGTAAATCTCTCGGTTGGCATTGTGGATGAATGTACCCTCGGTCCTCACTTCGAACAGAGGGTTTAAGAGATGTTCAATATCTGAATTTATAACTCAGGTACTCTCTACTCTTTTGGAGCTGGTGTTCAATTGAAGACCGCGTTTACGCCGGATGGTGACCTTATTTCGCGAAGTCTGGCAGAAATAAAGGTAAAACCTGGCAGTTCTCACGGAGGCCGTGCAGCATTTTGCGTTCACCAAAGACAATTTGCACTCTTATAGAGCTCTGGTTACACGAGCTAAAAATGCGAAAATTGGACTGTATATGTTAAACTATCTTAAATAATACTTAAATAATAGTTTTTTCTCACTCCTTTCATATTCGTTTGATACATAGGCAATAATAGCTATAGGGAACAATATTTAAAGTAATATTTGGGCTATCGTTCGTTTGATTAGGATTTACACTATTTCCTCTTGTGCTCATGAAAAGCTTAGTTTATTCTACCGCCGGATCCTATATGAGCACCGAGGACTGAATCACCTTGTATACATCTTTGGGGAATTAAATGAGTTTATTGGACACAGAATAAACTCTTAAATTCTAAATAATTATTGACCGCTCTCATAGTTAATATCATTTTTCTATTGTATTGTTCGTGATACAGTTATGACTTTCTGGCATACGATCATAATAGTCTAAGTTGTTACCGCCAGACCCCGAAATCTGTTAAAACCACTTTTATCAAAGCCCTTTATTGAACATCTAATGTTCACTAGACATAACTAGTATTATCCATGTTTTCCATGATAAAGAAATTTGGATAACTTTAATATGAATATTAAAGTAAATTGGGGCTGAACTGGATCTTTTAAATGTTTTTACAGGAATCTAGTAGTCTCTCTACCAAAGCATGTCTTATAATCTTCTGACTATCAGTAGATCTTTCCACTTTAACATTTCCAATCAATTCCCAAATTATACTAAATGAGGCCTCGCATGTTTTATTAAGGAAACAACGATATCTTTCTCTAGATCATTTATTTAAAACAGCACTTTTCTTCACAAACATTACATTTCGGCCTGTAAATACGTATGGAAATGAAATTCTGCTCACGATTCACACGTGTGTATGTGGTTCGGTTAAATTCCTTTTGAGTGGCTCCAGCCTCCGCTGCAATCCTCCTCCGAATACAGTAGAGCTCACTTGGGCAAATACACAACCTTAAATCATATTCCTTTGTTTCAATGTTTTCATTGCTATCTTTTCGAGGAACACCCCCCAAATTTTCTAATTAAACTTACACTGCAATGATTTATTGAACACACTTTTATAACCGAAATAAAAGTTTAAAATGCATAAATTAAAATCAACTATCGATGTGTTTTGCAATAACGATCACATTTTGTTTCAGGACAAACATATTTTAAAATGATTGTTGTTTTGTTAAAAACTTCATAACTATCCATGATCAAACTACAATATAGACCATTTTGGAAAAGGATATCAAGCAATTACCATTCAGATAAGAAAAGAGTCCTAACCAGAAATCTTCATACTATATTCCAATGAGAGCTCACAAACTGCGATATTCTTCACTAATGGTAGCGTCAACAGAGCAAGCAGGTGATCACTGACTCATAACAAAAAGGTCACACCATATCTCTGTGAGTGACACGGGCTTCGATTTACCGCATAGCTCCAGCAGTTGTTCCGGCTATGCCTTCTGAAATGAAGTCCACGTCTAATTATGTGTGTGCACTGTGCTTGCGCGCGCGCGTGTGTCTGTGTGTATGTGAGCATACATGTGTGCTTGCGGGAGCGCGTGCGACTGGTTTTGATTACACAAAGCGAACGGAAAACATAAATTTGGAGGGATTATCTTTTTACCAATACCGTTGCGATACGGATTCGGTAATGAACGCAATCATTTTCGTCCGCGCATTGCCATGCATTAATTTGCCTACAGACGCGCGCGAGTGCTTGCTGATAAATGAAATTATTTCGTACAAATTATCTCGTGAAGCACGGTTTTGAAATTGGCGCGATGGCGCCGTTGGAGCCGACTCTGTGAAGTGTGAGCTGTGGGTGAGACGGAGGGGCGTGAAAGCTGGAGATAATGAAGCATATAGGAATGAAGACGGGTATAAAAAGGCTGCTTGGAGCGAGATTTATTTTGGTGAGAGGAAGGCGGTGATGTCTACCTGGACAGCCTAGTTAATCTATTAAGGATGTCATCATAAAATATCTACAGGCAATAACTCACTACATTCTTTGTGCCCCACACGTGAAACGAAATGGTGCTAATATATTAAAGCATTAATAAAGGTGAAAATTTTCACATAAACGTCATTTGCCAGTGACTGTTGGAAATATCATTAAAATCTGTTGTCTGAGCTCTGGCTGATCCAGAATTTAAAAAAATGCATTGACGCACGCAAAACCGAAAGGAATCATTAAAGAATGACATTTGAAGTAGAATTACAAAAATCGTATTTATTAGCATTAACACTTTGAGTATGAGTGCTTATGATTAAGTGCTGACCTTCAATTATGGAAATTTTGGAAGAGTGTTTCGAAGAATTTCAATATTGATTCTAGCATAAACACAATTACAGCGTTCCAAGAAGTTGACTTTTTACGAGTAAAAAAGGCAGTTAAGGATATGGAAACCATTTCTTAAGCTGGGAAGAAGAAGAAGAAGAAGAAGAAGAAGAAGAAGAAGAAGAAAATCTGAAGGATGATGATGGCATTAATAATCTAATATATTCACTGGCATTAATAATCTACAATATAATATATACTGGGATTCACTGGTGCGAGGTTTTTACGCAAGAATCATTAAACCCGTTTTTCTCAAAAGTGGTTTCTTTGTACAAATGCACCATTTTCTCAGAAATTATACATGTACTGTTCAGTGAATGTACAAAGTGTATCTGAATCAGAATGCTAAATGGAGTTTATGTCCAATTAATATTTTCTGAGAAAATATATCACACACTTTGAAGATTTAACATACAGCATACTTTCTTTCTCTGTACATACTTTCTCTGTATTCCATTCTCACTGATTTTCCTACAAAATATTGAGTGCATATATAATGTGTTCTTGATAACAGTGTATGTGCAGGAAGATCCCGATTAGGAGATAGGTTAGGGCTTGCAAATTACTCGTAGGTCGTATAAATGAGAGCTACTGAACGTTGCGTTCTTCACACTCGTGACTGGTAGTTTGGTTAGTGGTTTGCTTTGTTACAGGATGATTTGGATTTACTATTTTCTACAATGTTTGGAGCGTTATCAGATATGTCTTCGACTTGATTTTTATTGATCATGGTCGTCGCACTCGTACCTTTGAATTCACATAAGTCTGGGACAGCGAATTCGAATAGTCTAGGGCTTGCTATAGTGCTGTCACGAGATGACGTAGAGGGCGGCTGTCCCCTGAAAAGAACATTATTGTAAGAAGGGGCCAGTGTGTCACCTCGGGAAACAAAGGAACGTAATTCAGGACGATGGCATTGTAAGAAATAATTTGAAGTTTTTCACAAATGAGCTAACTGTTCACAAGCGCATTGACAAATTGAGTGCGTGGACATAACCTTCAGTAAGTTGTAGCTCAACAGAAGCTATCAAAGCGGACGCTTCTTATAGTAAGTGGATGTCCGTCGTGAGTAATCACGCTGGGTCACGGCAAGTGCAGACATCACCATCGGACAGGTAAGGCAAGAGTAAATAGCCCTTGTCCGAGATTGTTTTACGCAGCAAGCTGAATGTTTAAGACTTCGGTAGTGAACGTTTTATCACGTTGGTGTAAACCTACTTGTAAAACCAGGAGTGAAATGAATAAGTGATTTGGCGGAAAGGAGATTATTAAGAAATTATATGGATATTGATATAGAAACGGTTGAAAAATTATAGGAGAAACGGGAGAATCTAATAAAATACGCTACGAACCGACTTTGTTAATCACAAATTCCACATGGATTGAGCGTCATTTGAACAGATGTGTGAGATTTGAACACCAGCGGTGGATAGCGAGCTGCCTGTCCTCTTCCTCATAAATCTTCTCTAAGAATTTCGTACAGTTAAATGAAGGTATTCAAGTGGTATTTTTCTCCCTGGAAGGTAATAGTATATTGCGCAACTAGATTATAATGTTAAGGCATTTGTGCAATTTTTGCATGAGTGCAATTTGTGAAAACGAGCGACGTTACGAGCGAGTTTCCAAATTTGTGCGAATGCAATAAAGCAATATTATAAACTAGTTGTATACGTTATTTTTTGTATAACAGCGTTGTAAATTTATAAAAGAATCAAAGCTAATCTTTGGAAAGAACTTCAATGCGCCGTGAAGGGTATTTGACATGTACGCAAAAAACATCGATCAGCCGTTCGGTTTATCGCTACCGCCTACGATTCTCTCGCTGCGAATGGCTGAATGTGTGGCGATACAATTTATCGTACCATAAACGACAAATATGTCATAATCTGTGACTAAGATATCATTTTATGAACGATCCATCGCTAAAGTACAATATAGTAAGAGTACTGGTTTATTCTTACAAGAAATTTTATCAAGATTAACATGTACGTACTACGTCCTAAACATGAATGGACATCTTAAACATGGCATTTAATTAAGATGGAAGTTAGTGTCACATCCAAGTTCTAAAGTCATCATGAGCTTTTTAAAGTTTAATTACACCTTTTTAGTGTTCAAGTTTTCAAAATATTGTGTCTAAGTCTTCGGGGAATGACTAGTGTGTTCCAGCATGTGGAGAATGCTCAATACGGAAGCGGATCTCTACAAACTCGCAGCAACATTTCAAGGCGTCATGGCCACCCCAACTAAGTATTAAAACAATTTCCGTATATGTGGGGAAACTTCATAAAATTAACGCAAAGAAACATGATGATCAAAAGATCATTAGAGCAACAATAGATCTATAAGTAGTTCATGTTAATAGGTGTGTATAAATTAAAATTTATGATAAGAATTTGCAATATTTTGACCATTTTTATGCAATAATTCTTATATTCATTACGTGTAACACAATTATAAAATAGAACCTATGTTCATTTGAGAAAAAAATTATTGATGCTGCACTCGTGTTAAGTTTTGCTTTTAGTAAAGTAATAGTACTAAAGGATTAAAAATGATTTTTAGCCATAAATGCTCATAAAATTTAGTGTTGATTTGATTTTGATTTGATTGAGTTTACTATTGTCGGGAATAGAATATCAATCCCTTTGAAAAGATATCTTGCCATGTAGCGATTTCAAATTATTTTGTTTGCTTTTTTAAAGACTTTTCATCTTTCAAACCTTTCACTATTGATTGTCACTGAGTTGCAGTTAGCATTACTGGCGCAACTCTCTCGATCTATACTATGGCATAGCATTGTCCATAGTGGCCGCAATATCGGGCCTACGGAGAGCTACAGCGGCCGTAGGAGCGGTCGGCGGCGCGCTGTCGCCCGCCCAGCATATGTGGCGCTCCCAAGCGCAGTGTGGCCGTCCCGCCGACGGCGCTCGACAGTATGGGAGATGCGGGTAAGCGCCGCCAGGTGGCAGGTCAACCGCGGCGGCCGGGCGACCAGCAGACTGGAACGTGACGCAGCAAACCGCACCTGCTGCTACTCGCTCGGGCAAGTGAAGAGAGGAAGAATATGAGTCGCTCCGCGGGTTTTAGAACTACAAAATCGCTTGCCCTCCAGATCGGGAGTGAGAGTACAATCGTGTTCAGTTGGTGCAAGTGGTTGTGCGACGTTGTGCCCTAGACAGTGTTGAAGTACTGTGCGAAGTTATGTGTGATTTCTTTGGAGACTTGGTTGAACTACGCTGTGAATAGGGATATCTTCTAAAAGGGCGGGATTTTGGCTTGTACCTGATTATATTTTGATTTTGGATTGGTGAAAAAATAAAGACATTTGTGAAGTGTACGAACTGTTGGGCTTTTCTCCTTGATTATTCCTGAATACACAACAATTTATGTAATGGAAATGGCCAAATGGCAATAGAATATGTAATACACGTTTTACACTAGACATTATTGGTCTTATGTATGTTATAAATTATTGTTTGACATCAAATCATTTATAAAAATCTCGCAAAACTACGAAATTACCCGCCTTCAGATTAGTCACTGCAACTTTTTCCAATTATAACTCTACGGTGACTCATTCCCTACCTGCAAATTAATGAGGGGCGACGTGGAGCATATTCTCGAGCTATGGGGTAAGAAAGAGCATGCCGTCCAAGGCAACGCCGTGCTGTCACACAAGAGATTCTTATTAACAACGATATCTCCCTCCCTCTCTCTCTCTCTCTCTCTGCAAGCTTTTTAACTTCGAACTGGAAAATAAAATGTAAAGCCTTAATTGAGAAAGGAGGATTATGCTAATTAAGATAGATATTATTGTACTGATTTTTTGTGCGTTCACCTGTTTTTTTTTCTGCCAGATTTTTCGTCTTACCACGGAACATGATTATAAACTGCATGTTTTATTTGTACATTTTACTTTATATTATGTCTGTCTAGTAAAACGTCTGTTGAAACTAAATTTGTCTATTGTCTATTAAAACGCAAGAACAGTTATGTTTACCGATGATATGAATGTGCTTAAAAAAAGAAACAATAAATAGTATGATTTCTAAAAGTTTCATATTAGCAAAATAATAGTTAACATAAAAGCAAATTAATAGTTAACGAAGGAAAAACAATTTCAATGCATTTTTGCATTCCAAATCAACAATGACAACCTCCATTGAAAATGAACAATATGCAATTATCTGATGCTAAGGCGAAAAATGTCTAGGTCTCTCAATTTAGTCAAACCTCAAAATGTTCTTATAACAGAATTTATCACTAAATTATGAGATATGGCATGGAATATTATTCGAATAATAGAAAAACGCCATCCGCGTAATCCTTGCAAGCCTCTCTTCATTGAGCTTGGAATCTTACCATTGCCTTGCCTATTTATTTACAAATCTGTAATATTTGTCAAAACTGATTACTTTACAGTGGGAACCCTTTTCAGGCAATACTGATATTTATACAATAATTACAACACACGTCACATAGAGTTTTTACTTTTTTTTACTAAATAAATCAAAACCTATTAAAAATATGTCAGCTTACCACTGTCAGAGTACGTATAATGTCCTTACGGAAGTTTCCAATGACCTCAGATGTTGAAACACTCTCAAACCATCTTCTTCTTCATCAACATCATCATCTGCATCAACATTGAATTCCCAAAGCAATTTGATATGTATAATTATTAAAGAACAACCTAGCACAGCAACTTAAAAAAAGTGCTTTTATTTTCGATCACTTCACCAAATTATGCTTAGTAAAAGGATTTCTTGTTCCATTTACCTCATATTTGTTATTGATCGTGTCCATTAGGCCGCGAACGAAGTATAACTGCAGTTGGCGCTTCTATCCCATCAATTTAGCCCTAGGAAGATAAGCGACAGGCAGCTTTCACAACTAATCTCAAGTACCGAGGTTCCAAGATTACTTCACGTCAATTTCATAATTTGCTTGAACTTTACGTAGTACATCATTCTCCATCAACATTCGCTAATTCCAAAACCTCCTGAATATAAACGAAGCAATGAATTGTGATATAGAGGATCCACAATTCATTGCTTCGCGTTGCATTGCATGTGCAATGGATTGCGTCTTTGTACTGCCCCCTCGGATGTCAAACCCATTCAGAAAATAAAAATATCCGAAGGTGCACAGGTATCTTCGCCGTGTCCTGTATACTGCCCGCCTTCCTCCACCTCAAAACAGTTCATCGCGTATTGGGTCGAGGGCCAAGGTGCGCGGAAACGTCAGAACACGGGAGGCCGTTAACGCAAAAAATACGGCTCCCAACTTCCGGCCAGGAATATTTCGCCAAACTTTTATTGGCTCGCGCCTCAGCCTGCCCACCTGATCGATGGCGTCGCCTCGGGCGCCTGGCCGGGCCGGGGCGGGCGAAGGCGAACCCAAAAAGGCGGCACCAGAAAAAGGTGGACGCGGGAAATTGGGCGGAAACGATCAGAAGCAGTCTGTGGAAAGGACGAGGGAGAGCGAGAGAGCTAGAGAGCGAGCGGGCGAGAGTGCGAATGAGCGAGAAAGCTGTCAGGTACGAAAGTGATTGAACGAGAACGTCAACGGGTGAGAGAGCAAGCAGATCGGGAAAAAAGACACGTAGAGAGAGACTCGGGGAGAGTGCAAACGTCCGAGAAAACGATCAGACGAGAGAGAAAGTGGGCGAAAGAGCGAGTGGGAGAGCGCGAGCGGGGAGAGAGCAAGCGGGCGAGAGAGCGTGCTGGGAGAGAACGAGCGGGGAGAGAACGAGGGGTGAGAGAGCGAGCGGGTGGGAGAGCGAGTGGATGTAAGTGCGAGCGAGTGAGAGAGTGAGCTGACGAGAGTGCGAATAAGTGAAATAGTGATTAAACGAGGCAGCGAGTGGCCGAGTGGGGGAGTGTAAGCGGAAGAGGGGCGAGTGTGGGAGAGCAAAAGGGAGTCAGTGTTGAAGAGCGAGCGGGAGTACGAGCGACAGTAATGGGTTAATCAAGGTGTCAGAAGTAGAATACTATATGTATCATGAAACAGGATATTTGAGAGCAGTAAGCAAGGCTGTTTCTTCGGTGAATAAACAGAAAGGAAAGGAGATCGAGTGTTGAGGCTGCGAAATATTGCTTAGACGAATTGGGAGAGCATTAGCAGTAACTGCAATGAGAAGTTTTCTGCATCGCCTTATGCGTTCTCATCAGACGAGAGAATTCTGATAAAAGCGACACATAATTGACAAAGATTATTACTACGCCGAAAGAATCAATGAATAGATGAATGAATAGAGTGCCATGGTTACTTCTGTCTGGACGAAAATTAACGATCTTCTAACGAATTTCACATTATTCATGCCTTCTGCTCTTTTGACCCGCCTCAGAGCGCTGGTTGAAGTAAACTACACGATAATTTCTTGTTGCCAACGTACCATAAACTTTCAATGCGCCCCATATGCGTATTGCTTAGCTCTTCGGCACGATCACTACAGAAATTCCTCCTCTGAATTCCAAACAATGCGAGCTCGTCGCGTGTGATATGAAAACAAAAGTGGATTTCAAGAAATCTTACAATGGTAACTCTTTCGTCGCCGGCGCCTAGGAGGTGGTGCTACCTATTAGCGAATTTTCGAAGTAGTTGAAAATAGATTTTAAAGAACTTCGCACAAAAATGAGTATTTGATCAATTGGGAAGGAATTTGCGCTGTTTTTTGGGCAAGATTAGACCCCGCGGCGGGAAGTTGCAGGTCGGATGGATATATAATTTCGGCTACTTTTTGATATTGCCAAGACAAACTAAAATATAACAAATTTTACGGTTGCTGGTACATTAACGAACCTATGATTTACGAGTTGGTGTTAGTGTCAAAACCTAAAAACAATTCAATTTCTTTTCGATATTATATCACGGTGCTAATTTAATAACTGCAATGTTTTTATTATATTTCTGCGACAAGTGAAAATTCCATTAATTTGAACTTTACGAGGACGGTGTATTGAACAGTTTTGAATTTGTGTTCCAAATTTAATTTATTCTATATTTTCAAGACAAATTTTCACTTAATATCTACGGTATCTATCTACAGTTTCTATCTACGGTAAAGTATAGACTACTGATTGTATTAAATAGTAGCAGCTTAAGTCGACAATAATCTACAGAACCACATTGCCAAATTTCGTAAGTACTCGCTTTCAATCAATTTTGTAAACAACGCCCTTTCTCATTATAGTATCCAATCATAATTTTTTTAATTTATTGAATATATAGCAATCTTACACTTTCAAAATATTAAGCTAATTGCTTGTTGCTCTTATCTGAGTTTCTTGTATTTATTCCAAATTTACCAAGTACATTAAAACGCATTCGTGACATGGAAGCTAATTTTTCTACTCTTCACACTCTCAAAGCCGAACTGAAAGCCTGCACAAACATAAACAGTTATTTTGATCGACATATCCGTAGGTTGGAAGAGGTCGTTCTCTATAAAGGCAGTTGGGTACAAGTCTGCCACACTGCCAATCTTCCCAATCGTGCACCCGTGACTGCACAAAAGACACAGGCACCGTATACACTCGCAACTCAAAACAAATTTAGTGTTTTAGGTTATGAAACAGGTTTTCCTCGCCTTCCCGATCCTCACAACCCTTCTCCGCCATCGACAAATACATACACAAGTCCACGCAAACAGGCTAGGGAAGCGCGTCAAAACCAAAACACGCAAAGCTGGGCATCCTAGCCCACTTGAAAACAAAGACATTTCTACTGAACCTAAAAAACAGGACTTATTGTAGCTGACAGCCACGGCCGCCATCTTTCCACCATTCTCAGTAGGAAGTTACCCTCCAACTACTCAGTCTCATCTATTTTTAAACCTAATGGGAGGTTTGCAGACGTGACTGCAGAGTTGGACACCCACACAAAGACACTGACCAATCAGGACACAGTCATTGTCATAAGAGGGCAGAATGACATTTATTTGGGCGGTAGCTGTACACCTGAACAACCTGTAAACAAATTACAACGTGCCGCCCAAAACACTGACATTGTAGTCTCGACTCTGCACTTTTGGTACAACAGACCAACACTATGCAGCGAGATTAAA